TTATCAAATGTATTAAGTATTTGTTTTTAACAGTCATTTGAATTTGTTGTATAAATATATTTTAATGTGTATATTTTAACAAAATTGCGCACACTCTGTAAGTAGTTATTTTCAAAAACCTAAATGCGTAAATTTATAACTATATAAGTTTTGAGGTAATCTGTTTTTAACTGGCTGGTAACAGATATTACCAGCCAAGATAGACAATCCAGAATGTATTTATTTTTAAAAAATTTAATTTTTTAAAGTTTAAAAATTAAATGAAATAGTTTTGTCTATAAAAATATAGTAAATTGTGTTACATGCACCATTTTAAAAATGGCGCATGTGACAAATATTACTTAATAAAATATTCTTAAACATAAAATGTCATTTATTGTTGTGGTCTTATACAGTTGTTTTAGTGATAAATAGTCTTTTCATTTTTAAAACTTCAATCTAATATTCAAATTAATGATTACTAGAATTAAAATTTTCAATTTAGTTAAAATATATTTCTATTCTTAGTTTTTGTAATTCTACTTTATTGATCGAAGTGATGGAAAATCAACAAGTTACCTTTCATATAAATTATTTTACAGCTTGTGGTCTAGAAAACGTTGTCTTTTTTATTGATTATAATTGAGTTTCTTATAGCCCAACTACTTGAAGTAAGAAATCAGTTACAACTAACTTTAAAACTTGTTGACGTTTTTTTATATTTTCTTTAGATGTTTCATATCAAAATCAATTTTCTCACATGAGTCTCAAAATTTGAGATTTACATGAACTCGAGGCTGTAAAAGTACTATATATACTTTTTTAATTGTAGACATGGACAATTCGAGCCTAATTGCAAAGTCACTAACAAATTAATTATATAAACTTAATACTTACTCATTTCAGTTGAAAAACAATCTTCATTGGTCTCAGAAATTTTACAGCGTTTAAAATCTTTTTCAACACCTGCCGTTTTATTTTCGCAATGATGATTATAAACACATTTATCTCCAATTAGACATCCAGCGTCTCTCTTTGCTATTGACTTGGGTTTCAGTTGACCATTGTCACCAGAAACTAAAATTATTTGAGATCCATAATCACCTTCTAGGTACTCGCTGTACTTTGGATTGCCAATATATCTTCTCACTTAAATCAAAAACGTTTTCTTTTTAAACAAAATATTGGTAAATTAAGTTTATAAAAATATTTAAAAAAATTACTATATTAGTTGAAGTGGTTTTTTTTATTTATAAGTCCGAAAGTAGTATGGTTGCAAACTGAAGCTAATACATTTTTGTCTCAATTTTATTTCTTGTACTTTTTACTATTTACTTACATTTTAAGATAAAACTTATTAAGGTATCGTTAAACACAATTTTGAATTCAAAACAAAAGTAAATCGTAGCAGGGTCTAAACATTAGCCCAAGACAAAGACCTTAAAACTGACTGAGAGTCTTTCTGTAATTTACTTTGCGATGGCAGTTAGGCTGGTGTCATTTGCCAAAAGTTTCACTTCATTTATAACTTCCGGTATTAAGACGTGCAAGCATTTTGTTATCTTGTTGATTTAAAGTCAAGCACAACTTTCCCAGCAAGCACACATACGTTGATAAAACATTAGCGCTTTGCGATGGCTCAACATCGACCACCAACGTTGTTTTTATACCATTGTGGTCACAAATGCGACGTCGCCAATAGCCAAAAAACAACACTGTATTTTAAGTCAGCATTACGTAACGTTTTACGTTGAATAAACATTGTATTATATATTGGCACAACGTTATATTTTAAGTTTACCAACGTTCACTATGTATTTATATACGTTGGGCCAACTTAAGTGTGTTTAAGTAAGTCTGTTTACCCCATAGATTTCCTTTTCCACTCCAGGTGATGTTTCTAAGTAGTAGAAATTTTTTTACCTTTTTAAAAGAACAACTCTCTGGAAAGCAAATACCTTTATAATATTGGAAAAGATAAATGCAAAAAGATATCAATTGAAACAAAGAACTGTTATTCTCAAATTACTAAGCTTTGTTCTTTATCTTAGAGATTGTGCTCAAGATTTTTAAAAGATACTTAACTGTGTCAATAAGAAAGTTTAACATCTCAAATACATGGGTCTGATCTTTTTTTTATCTACAACCTTACTATCATCAAAAAAACAAATTAGTCTTTTGCTTGACTTCTAAAACACTCAGGCTTCTATAGCTAGAGTTATTTTTCATATAAGCTGTTTTACAGCTTGTGGTCCAGAAAATATAACTATCATAGTCTTACAATTCGTGAACTTTATTACGCTTTAAAGTGTTTTTCAAGTGCTTAACTGAATATTATTTTCCTGCCTGCAAGAAAATAGCATTTTTAATAACTTTGATGATTGCTTTGACTCCCGTAAATTTAGCCTTTAATTAGTCATCTTGCATAATTAGTCTGTATTTAGTCATTTTATTATTATTAGCAAGATCTTTGAATCTTTAAATAACAAACTTCTAATATACCTTCTTAAGTCTGACAATTTACTCTATGCAACCTACTAGAATTTTAACCCCCTTATTCTGCTGCCGAATTATTAATCCATTAAAGATGGTGAACAGGGCTGTTGTTTATGACACATCAAAGAATCCAATCAAATTCCAATAAAGTGTGACATAATGATCTTCTTTACATGGTGTTTTCTTTTCATAAGGTGTATAATATCTCTTTTGATGAAAATTTTTAAAATTATTAAATCATTTTATTCTAATTACAATATTAAAGTTGTATTTGACGGACAACACTCTCTTTTATATACAATAAGCTATGAGATATTACAAGGTTCTACCCTTTGTTTTGTATTGTTCCTCATCTATAGTAATGGTTTTTCTGATATTATTACCTTTAAAATAAGTCTATTTGCAGATCACAAAACTATACACCCAAATCCTTAAAATAACCCATTGTTCCAATTAATTAATTAACCTTAACTCTGGCTAGTATATTCTTTCTGTCATCATTAATAATCCTGATTCAATGACCATTTAATTTACATTAACATTGTGATAGCTAAAGATATCAAAAGATGGGTCATGGTATACTAAGGGCGTATTTCCCTATTTTGAATTTATTTTATTTGCTACGCTTAAAGCAACAGACAATGTTGTTGGAATATGCAAGCTATGCCCAAAGTCAAAAGCATCAAAAATATCTGGTAGAGTAGCAGTGTCATCAAATTTTAATATATTGTGCATCTATTGAATGCACAAGCTATAAAATTTGAATAAAAAGTTAAAGAGTCCCTAAAAGACAAAGATGGTCAGAACGTTCCAACTGAAAATAATGAAGATGATTTCCTTTTCTCTGAAGTTAGCAAACCAAATATAATGTCATGTGACAGATTTCTACAGGATTCAGACCGTACTTTGGCCATCCTCCGCCGTCATAAAGCAGTGAAGCATGTTTTTCTTAAATACAACACCACACTGCCATCAAGTGCTCCAGTTAAAAGACTTTTTAGGAACGCATCATTAATTATGACAAAGCAGAGAAACAGACTGAACGATGATTTATTTGAAAAAAAAAATTGTTTTATTACTGAAGCAAAATGGGAAGATTGAGTTATAAAACATCAAATTATTATAATTTGTAAGTTTCAATGTTTTGCTTCATGTATCTGCACTGCAGATGTCAGCTTCGTGATAAGCACAAGCAGTCCATAGACACACAGAATTTTATTAAATACCTATTCTAATTTTATGGCATAGCCATAGATGATATAATATTACATGTTTTATGTATTATAATGCATAATTGTTTTAATTCTTTTGTAATTGTTTTAGTTTTTTTTGTGCATCTTTCAGCAAATAGTAATGGAAAAGTAATGATTACATATCGAAAGTAATGGAGAAGTAATCATTACTGCACCAGTAAAAAGTAATGGAGAAAGCAATCATTGCTTTTCCAGTGAAAAGTAATGGCCAAAGTAATCATTACGAAATCCAAAGTAATGGATACAACACTGGTGGCTGGTAAATCAACAGTGGTACAGAAAACTAAAAGTTGTTTACTGCTAATATTTATTGCAATATTGTTAATTTTATTAATTTTTTGTTAATTGATGAACAGTAACACTTTTACTGAGTTTTCCACTTTACGTCTTTTTAGTAGGGGTGCACCTATACATCGGCATCGGTCTCGGTAACCATTGGCAGATCCAAATTGTTTTGAAATTTTTATTTTTATTTTTGTGTTTCTATATTGTACGCAAAAATATAAATATTCCATAATCAAAAATCCATTTATTGATTAAGTTATTATATAGACATATCTGCAACCACTAAACCTTTAAATATTTTTTAAAACTGTATTTAATGTCTTTTTATAATTTAGGAAACCAATTATATGACTTATGAATCCAAAAAATACAAAGAGATAAGTTTAAAATCAATAAATCTAAATGTAATGTAAAATGAAAAAAATATTTTCTGCCAGATTTTCCTTTTCTTGAACTTTTTATTTTGCAAAATTTACAAATTGCTTTGAACGTTTATTTTCATCTATATCAAAATAGTCAATTTTTAAGTCTATTAATAGACTTTTAGTTGCTTTACTCATTGTTGATTTATTTCTTATTTAACTTTATTTCTATTTCTTAATTTCTTGAATATAGTTAGAAACTTATATATATATATATATATATATATATATATATATATATATATATATATATATATATATATATATATATATATATATATATATATATATATATATATATATATATCGCGCCTTTTTAAACCTTTCTAAAAATCACTATATAAAAATGATTTGGGCGGTATGTTATTTTAAATTTACTATTTACCATCATCACCATACCATGACTTTTTTTTCCCCACTTCGAACAATGTATATATATATACAGGGCCGGCGCGAGTTGGTGTCACGTGGGGGGGGGGGACCATTACAACTTTTGCCGACTAAAAAATAAAAAAAGTTTTTATTAAAATTGGCTGACTGTCATGACGACATTTGCCGACATATATATATATATATATATATATATATATATATATATATATATATATATATATATATATATATATATATACATATATATATATATATATATACATATATATATATATATATATATATATATATATATATATATATATATATATATATATATATATATATATATATATATATATAATATATATATATATATATATACATTGCAACTAAGCATTAATTTTAGCAAATAAACAAGCATTAAAATTGACTATTAACATTATATTCCAAAAAAGTCCTAGTTTACTTATTAGTAAAAAAGAAAAAAGTACAAATTCGAATTTATGCCGATGTATCGGGTGGTACATCGGTATCGGTTTTTACCGATCGGTATTTGCCAAAAGTAGGATTCGGTAGATCCCTACTTTTTAGATTGTTATTCACTATTAATTCATGGAAACTATTCACGCAATCCATTTAATAGTTAGCAACTGATTATATTCTCTCTCTTTATTGTACTTGTTATAATCTTACTTTTAATTCTGTTCATACTTTCAATTCTATTCTCTACCTCTATAAATCTTTTTTATCTTTGCACAGCATAATTTTGTTTTGTTAGTTTAGCCAAATATGTTTGGTTAAGTAGATTTTGTAAAAGCTACAAACCTGTTTGGTAAAATATACCGAATCTTTTGTGAACTTTAACAAATAGTTTTTGTTATTTTGACCAAATTATTTGGTTTGATAATGTTTTTACTTTTTGTCTTCACACTAAGTATAAAAAAATTTATTTGGTTAAATATACAAAATTGTATTTGTTATTTTCACCAAATACGCCAACGGGATTGCAAATAAAAGGAGAAAAAAACAAGATTTTTTTTCTTTATTAATTGGATAAGCGAAAGATGCTATGACTCAAAATGAGGTTTTGATTTTTTTTTAAAAATGAAGACTAGATATATTACTAATATGATGAGATATGTAGGAGAGTGCTGCTACATTGATTGATCTATACCTGCCCCAACCCAAAGCCTCAGTCGATGTTATTTTGCATGTTATCCATAAATTAGTCAATATAAATGCCCTCTCTTACATTTCTCCCTAAATAAGTAATATACCTGGTCTTCGTTTTTTTTAATAACCAAACCTCATTTTGAATCATAGTATCTTTCCCTTACCCATTAAATGTCAGACAACGTAGTTTCAACAGAAAATAAAAATTTATTAATGTCGCTATAATTATGATTAACTGTGCTTATTGTGAATATACTGCAAGCTCCAGCAACTCTTATAAATGCAAATTAAAAGTTTTTTGCAACAAACATAGTTATGGCGAAAGATTAGTTTGCAGTCTGGATGGTTGTCCGATAGAATATAATTCTTTCCAAAGCTTGCAAAACATATTGAAAAATCTCATAAAGAAGTTCTTCAAATACATACCTTAAAAGAAGCAGATATTACGCAACAATGTTTCTCTTCGAACAACTTGAATTAAAACAAATATGAAAAATACTCAATACATGTATGGAGTTCTGTTGATATTTGTTTTGGTTCTTATAACAACGTCTTCTTTTTAGACGAGGTTAAAAATTGTATTGTTAATGTTGTTGGGTCTGTTCTAGCAGATTGATTTTGAATATTTTCTCATTTTCGTAAAGTTGCATTTTTTTACAAAATTTATAAACTTTTTTACAAATGCTACCATTGAAACTGTTCTAGCAAGCTACCATCACTTCCTCCATCAACCAAATATGACATACTATGTTGCATACTTTTACTGTAACTGAAAATCTTTTGTCAACCGCGAGAGCAAGAGCTCTCTACTGCTTACTTTGCTTTCTGTTAACTCCCAATTTAGTTAATGGTTGCCAGATTTCATTTTGAACGTAAATTTGTGATGAAAAAAAAAAAGCTTTTCTCGTAACTAACAAATTTTAAATAATTTTTTTTTTATATTAGCCAAAAAAAGTTATTTAAAATTTGTGAAGCATTACATGTAAAATTATTTAATGTTTAATGAATACTTAACACCTATTGGTTCTTCCTTTAAAAAGAAGGAATATTGCGACACTGATTTGGAAGTTTGTATACATGTGGAAAAATGACTTGTCACAATCTGTCTTCAAAGATATTTTTACTCCAAAACCCATCAACAAATATAATTTGAGAAATACTGATTTTATAAATAAACCTTTTTGTCAAACGAACTTTAATAAATTTTGTATTGCCTATCGGGCACCACACCTTTGGAATAAAATTGTTTTGCCGAATTTTCGACTTTGAACTACCCATCCATTATTTTTCGTTTTTTTAAAAGTAAATTAAAAACCCTAATTTTTTCATTAGGTGACGTATTATGTTATTATGTTATTATTAATAATATGAATTAATAACTTTGCCTTTTCTTATTTACATTTGTAAAAAGTTTATTCTTACTTATTTTGTTGATATATTTTTTATATATATATTCTTACTTATTTTGTTTATATATTCTTACTTATTTTGTTAGATATACTCTTACTTATTTTGTTGATATATTATTGTTGATATATTATTTTGTTTATATTCTTTACTTAACATATTATTATACATTGGTACGTATACGTTTATATAAAATATTGGTAAGTAGATCCGCGTGATCTCTCTTTGGATTATATAATATATACTTAGGAAGTTTGTAAAAATTTAATACTGATGTTACTTTTGTTAATGCTTGTTTGAACTTATTTAAGGTTCTGACGACAAGATCCTTTGATCTTCTTTCAGATACCTTGTTTTATATTTGTGAAAGTTTATTATTATTATCATTATTTTTTTGGCAATATTTAATTGTAATACGACCAACAAATGTAAGATAAAATAAAAAATAAAAAAATAAAAAAGTTAAATGAAGGAGTTTTGCAAATTTTACTAAAATATTTTTAGTAATTTATATCGTCACTATATAAACATTTTACATATATATAAATTTAACATATTTATAAATATAAATATATTGATATGTAAACAATTATAAATAAAAAGTTCAAAAAAAAAAAAAAAATTAACAAGAGTAAGTAAAAGGCAGAAGTCTTATTCATTTGCAATTTTACAAAAGGTTTTCACTTGAGGTAAAAAACTTTAACAGTATTTAAATTTATAAATAAAAACAAAAAACAAAAAAATAAAACAAAACAAAGCCGAAAACATAATCAAATGAAAAGCAAGTAAATCTTAAAATTATCTTATAAATTGAATAACTTATGATAATGAAAAAAACATAGCTCAGAGACAAAAATTAGAGACCATAAGAGTTTTTTAATTAGCGTGAAAAAGATATCCTAATCATAATCTTAAAATTGAAACACAAAGCTAATTAGGATCTGTGTAAAAATGCATGTGTTTAGGCATTAACTAATAAATCGATAAGACAAAGTTTGTCTTATCGATATATTAGTTAATCCTCCAATTTCCTAGGAACTAAAACGTAGATATAGGACTTTGAAACCCCTATATTTACGTTTTAGTTCCTAGTAAATTGGAAAAACGCATTTTCTTAGCGTTGTACTCCACCAATGTTTTTACAATAGGAATTATTTGTCGGAAAATGCTTTTACTGAAGAAATTAATTTTCAGTACATGTAAGCAGTATATGTTCTGGCATGTAATTTTTTCTAATGACATTAAATTGAATATATTTATATACTTTTTACAATATACTACTTTGTTATAATTTCTTACTTATTTTAATGACAATTATTGCTTAATCATTTTTTACAATAAGCTTGAAAGTTCAAAAGAAAATATTTTTTAGCACTGACCGTGATCAAGCTCAAAGTAAACTGTAGAAAACTTTCAGTTGTATAACGTGTACATGACCTTAAAGTCTTGTACACGTCATTTTAGCTGTTAGACATGAGTAACTGCGGAAAAAATGGATAACCTTTTAAATTAATAAACAGCAATTCAATTGATTTTTAATTAATTTGCTTTTTCATGTTTCCTAATGATAATTTGTTGATGCTAATTGGTCTTAAGCTGATTTCAGTTTTAAAGTACAAAAATTGTATAATTAAACTGCTTTCCTTTGTTAAATGAACATATATTATCCTATTGACCATTGTGGATTATTGCCTTATATAGAAAATTTGATGGTTTAAACAGCCGTGACGCATTGGTAAAAGTGCTTAGAATTGATAACATCGGTAGAAAAGACAAACTTACTAATTAAATTTTTTCCCGCGGTGTTCTAGACGGTTTAAAGACGGTATAAAGACGGTATAAAGACGGCATAAAGACGGTAAAAGGTTTCTGAAAAAAAGATTTTGTTGAGCTCCCTAATAACCATAAGGAAAAAAAAATTTTGGTCTTTTTGTTTGCATAATTTTTTTTATAGTTAGGTTTGTAAGTGTTAGTTTCAATGATCAATAACAAGCTCATATTGATTTTGTTGCAGACGATGCTTTAATCTTTAATGTCAAAAATTAATACCAAAATTACCTACTACGAAAATGAAACATAGAAACGTTTAGCCAATTACCATAACTTATAACTGTCATAAAGACAAAAGCTTCAATTAATTTAACACCCTCGTAGTTTAATTTGATTGAAGAACTTGTTTAAATTTAATTTAAAAATCCTGAACGGTTTTAATTAAAAAACTCCTAGTTTCAAAGTAAAGAGAACAATTCTACAAAAATATATTCTTTTTTTAATTTTTTTTTTAACCATCTAAAGCATCGTTTATGTAAAGATGCATGTTATTATTAGGCACTAGCAGCCAGTAAATACCATTCTTTCAGTAAAATAAACCTGAAACTAATAGTCTGGCAGCAAAAAAACCATCATGTGTAACAGTTTTTTAAAACTAGTGACCTTATTAATATTATTATTTTCTTTTTACATAGTTAATTATTTTTTATTTTACTGAAGTAACGAAAAACAGTACAAAAAACAAAAAAGACAAAACAAAAAAACAAAGAATAATAATACCTTCACTGCAGGTAAACAAGCTTGAATGTTGACCTAAGAAAGAATCTTCGATGTTTTCAGTTGTGAGAACCTGGTATCCATCATTTCTAGTAACTTCTAACACCATCTCCTTAATATAACCAACTTTATGGGTTTCTCCATCAGCAGCAGATATATTGAAGTCTAGAAAATCGTTCAAAAAGTAAGGATATTTTTCAAAGACTTTTTCTATTAAACGAGAAGACACCTTTACATCTTTCTCTCGTTCTTTTTTAATTTTTTGAATGCCGTTGTTGTCTTGATTGATTCTGAAACATTTTATTTCGGCAAAAATAATAACAATGAAGAACACTGTATACGGTACGCAGTTTCTTATATTCATCAGAATTAATTCCGTTATGCCAAAAAAACTTTATTATAGTAGTTTAGTTAACTTGGTTATAATATTTTATTTTATAAATCTTCGTTCAATTTTACCAATGAAATTTATTCAAGCGTACATTGATATTCCGAATAGACACAAATTTTTATGTGCAAAGTAGAACGCCTATATGTTTTTAAATTTGCGTGTTTAAACTCATGGGACCTTTAAGTTATAAGCCACTAAGTTTGCAGCAAATCGAGAACATAAAAAATTTTTTATCTTCACAACTCGCGTATTCAGACTTAAAGCACCGTGCAAACTGGTTTACATTTCATTGAACTATTTGTTTTTTTTATGTTTTAAGAATTTATCAATTAAAGTGTTAATAAATAATAATAATAATAACAATAAAAACAAATAAAAAGCTATATAAATAGTATTATAAGTTTAATTGTAAAATATATACAACATAAACAAAGTATAGTTTAATAGAAGGTATTACTATAAAAAAAAACAACATTTTAACAATTAAATATCGAAAGTTAAATTCTTACCATATAAAAATGTAAAAGTTAAAACCTTATTACTCTCATGCAAAGATCTGTCAGGAACGTACTTTTTACGTTTAAGACCCCTGAAATAATGATACATCAAGACCCCTGAAGTAACGATCTTCTCAACTGGAGAAGTTTAAAAAAAAAAAAAAAAAATCAAAAACTTTACTAAAAACGAAACAAAATAAATAGAACTAAAAAACTTATATTGAAAAAGAAAAAAAGTTTATAATTTTAAGCGTATTTTGATTTTATATACTTTTTTTTGTATCGTCAGTATGAAGTTCATAGTATGAACTTCATACTGACGATATATTAGTTCATAGTATGAACTTCATACTGACGATAAAATCATAGTCATAATAACAGATTGTATTTTATCAGATGTATTTTATGACCATGATAAAACACTTTTTTTTATACGCGTTTTATGTTTTTAATGTTATAAACGTTTTGAAGTTCTCTAAATCACACTTGTCTGTCCACATCTTGAATATGGTATTTTTGTATGGTGTATTTTTTTTTTTTTTAAGTTAATTAAGGTGCCTCAAGAAGTCCTTACGGTCTTATCACAGAGCACCGCGAAAGAGCATTTAATAGTAAGTTCACGCCTCCTTCCCAACCGATGTCGCAAAACTTATCAGGGGTGGGGTTTGAACCAGGGATCTTACGCTTCTGAGGCAAGTGCGCTACCACTGCGCCACGGCTGCATTAAAACAGCATTAAAACAACCTGGGAAACCTGTTTTATATTAACACAAGTGTTTTATATTAACAAAACAACCTCGCAGTATTTTTTTTATTTATGTATTGTATTTACTTATATATTGTATTTACTCGCAGTATTTTTGTTTTATATTGCTTTAAAGCAATATAAAACAAAAATAAAACAAAAATTTGCAATACGTGTTTTATCGTCATTAACGGGGTATTGAACTATAAGAAATGATCAAAAGAAGTGATCTAAAACCATATGATCACGGCAACCGTTGTTGTCAATCTTCCCTAAGATCTCGGATTTCAGTACCACGTGGATTGTTTTTTAAAACCTTTTTCTAAGAAGGTTAATTTTGGAAAATCTGATAGCTTTGCTTGATAACAAGTATTGTAATAATAATATTATTGATTGTAAAATTGTATTAAAAAAATTTTATTACAATAAAATTTCTGCAATAAAATTTCTTTAATATAACTTTACAATCAGTATTTAAATTTAAATACTATTTAAAGTAGGGAAAGGTGGTGTACAGTGGATCGAGGGGCACAGTGAATAAGAGATATTTTCTCAAAAATAAGGATTTTGTTCATTATGATAATATAATCATTATATGTGCTCATATATTAGCCATCTTTATTTATATTTGTTACAAATAACTTTTTACTACCGGTTTTTGGCAAGTAATTTTTGTTTTTAGCTAACTAAAGTATATGTTTTTACATTCTTTATGTTTGTTATGGAGATCATTAAAATAATTTTAAAAGTTAAAGTTTTTATTCATATTATTCCTTTTTTGAGTAGTTTAGTTTTTCCTTTATTAACACTCATGTCCCAAGAAATTGATAGACTTTGAACTTTAATTTTTTATGGTAGGGAACTGTGAAATGGTTGATTCACTGTGCCCCATTAATGATCAGTAAAGATTAATCTCTTGCATTTTTAGCAAAGAAACTACATAAAAATGAATTTATCAGTTTCAAGTTATAAGATAATGTGCTATTATCTATTTTATTGATTTTTTAAACAAATTTTATAATATGAATATAAAAGATAAAACTATATTTTAAATATAGTTTTATCTTTTATATTCATATTATAAAATTTCTTTTATATTCATATTATAAAAATTTCTGTTAATTCAATAAATTAAAAAGCTATTCTAAATGTTATTTAGAATAGCTTTTTAATTTATTGAATTAACAGAAATTTTGAAGTATTAATTCACTTAACTTTATAATATTTTATGTGTATTATTATTTTGAAAAATAGTTTAATAAAATTTTGCCCACGTAATTTCATTACAGTCTATTATGATTCTTTATGCTATATTTGCTTTAGTCGATATGGTCCAAAATCAAAAATAGATTGACAAAAAAGTTCTGTAAACACAAGTTCTGTAATTACAAAGCATGCAGTGCATATTGTAATTAAGAATGGCCAAAATTTTTTTGCTGTAAGCAAACATAGTAAAATTGCATTTTTAAGTTTACGTCAGTTTGTGGAAAAATCTAAACAATATGGGCTTGATAAAGTAAAGTATGCACCAAACTACAAATTTCGACAGGTTTTCACTAATAAAATATAGTATATAGCAGAATATATTACAGACTTAGTTAAAAAAATTAGCTTATGATTTTGCTGACCACAACAGGAAAATTCTTCCAGGATCATGGACAAAAACCTGACTGCTGGAAAAGATTGTTTCCTAAGGTGCATTTTAGAGACTTAATGGTACATAGTGCTTCACCTGAAATAGTTAGACAGCTCACATGTCAGGTTAGATGACAGTTTTTATTTCTATATGAAATACTTTAGTACATCAACAAAATGTTCGAATGAGCAACCGGTCTTATTAACTTTAGAAAATTATGAGACACACCTTTCTATTTTTTTTTTTTAATTTGCATTCACTCCCAACAAGGCTGCAAGCAACCACTATTAAGTTGGGAGTTACTAGGAAAAAAAAGAACAGAGTTATATAGCAAGGAAATGGTTGACAGAAGACTTGAAAAGTTGAAGGTTGTATGAGTCAGGAAAACATGAAGATGGGAGAGAGTTTCAAAGGATTAAAGTGCGGGGAAAAAAATTAGATGAATAAAAGTTTTTAGAGCATGCAGGGACAGATACAGTAAACGAATAAGACTTAGCTGAATGACGAGTAAAACGAAAATGAATTTTAGTTGATGGAACTAGAGATGATAACTCCTTTGAGCAGTGACCATGATAGTATTTGTAGAAAAGAGAAAGAGATGCAACTTTACGACGATGGGAAAGAGGTTCAAGCTTAGCAGATAGTCCAGGTCCAACAACATTTACAATGCGTTTTTGGACCTTGTCAAGAAGAGAAAGTGAATCGTTAGAAGAACCAGCTCAAATATGACAACAGTATTCCATACAGGGACAAATAAGAGATTTGTAGAGGAAGAGAATGGAATCAGAAGTAAGGAAATGGCGAGCACGATAAAGAAAAGCAACCTTAGCAGAAGCTAATTTAGCAATCGATTGTATATATGGTTTCCATGAAAGGTCAGTAGTAAGCGATAATCCAAGAAGACGTAGGAGGACTCAGTAAGAGGATTGCCATTCATTAATATAGGAATGTTGATCATATTACGGTAGTTGTTTGCAGTAAGCAATTGGGTTTTTTTTAGAGTTGAAATTCACAAGCCACTGTGAACCCCAATCTATTACTGAAGTGAGATCAGATTCAAGATAAGCTGCTTGTTCTAGGCGATCGAAAAGAGAAGACTTTTTGTCAAGACAGGAGTATAAAGTTGAGTCATCAGCAAAAAGAGCTACTTTAGATGAAAAGTTGTCAGGAAGATCGTTTATGTAGATAATAGTAAACAAAACAGGGCCCAGGATGGAACCTTGGGGAACCCCAGAAGTTACTGGAAATAAAGAAGAGTGTTGGCCTTCAAGGATGACTTTAATAAACCGGTTAGAAAGAAATGATTTGATAATCTCAAAAACTTTCCCAGAAACACCATATGAAGCAAGCTTATGGAGAAGACCAGCATGCCAAACTTTGTCGAAAGCTTTAGATATGTCGAGAGCAATAGCCCTAGCCTCACCGCCTCCATCTAAAGCACGATAAAATTTTTCAGTTACAGCAATTAGCAAGTCGGATGTAGAGCGAGAGGATCGAAAACCGTATTGATTGTCTGACAGTAGTTTATTTGACTCAAGATGAGATGTTAGGAATTAGTTGATCAAAGACTCAAAGACCTTGCTAATAACAGAAAAAAGACTGATCGGACGATAATTGGAGGGGTCAGAATTTTCTCCAGAGTTTTTGAATATTGGAGCCACAGATGCCATTTTCCAACAAGCAGGAAAACAAGACTCAGTCAAACACTTGTTAAATAGTTTAGAGAGAATTGAAGAAAGTTCTGGAGAACAATTCTGCAAGACTGTGACAGGAATGTTGTCTGGACCACAAGCTGTAGACGAGTTTAATTGAGATATGACTTTAGCAACAGAAGCAGGAGTGATTTGAATGTCTAACAATGGGTCAACCTGTTTGACTGGAATGGAAGGAAGTAAATGTCCATAAGATTCAAGAGTGGAATTAGAAGTAAAGTTCTTTGCAAATAGTTCTGCCTTATCCTTGGGAGAGGTAATAAGATCAGTCCCATGAATGAGAGATGGAATGTTAGATCTACCCTTGTTAATAATGCTGTTGAATATTTTCCAAAAGTCTTTAGAGTCTAACTTCTGTGATAAGATGCGAGATTTAGTGAACTGAGAATAATGGAGTTTAGCATCAGAAAGCACCTTTTTACATCGATTTCTTGCAATAATAAATGTTTGTTCTTAAGAGAGTTGTTCTTTTGAAAAAGATGAAAAAAATGATTACGATTGGATATAGCAGCCGCACAAGAAGGAGAAAACCATGGAGTAGAATGAGGCTTGACTTGAAACAGACGAGAAGGAATAAAAGTTTCCATTCCAGCCTGTATCCAGGAGGTTACGTACGAGGCGCATTTATCAGCTTAGAGAGAAAAAACATCAGCCCATGGACCATCATGAAGACAATCACGAAAAGAATTTCAGTCAGCTTTAGGGTAGTAGTAGGTGGTGCGATGATAAGGTTAGCCCAAAAAAGAAGTATGAGAAGAAAGATTTATAGAGATCATTGCATGGTCAGAACCACCTAAGGGAGAAAAGGGAGAAACTGAACATAAGCTAGGGTCAGAGACAAGACAGAATTCAAGGAGTGAAGGTAAATGATTAGGGTTGTCAGGAAAATGAGTCAAAAAGTTAACTATCTGAGTAAGAGATTGAGAAACGCAGAAGTTAAAAGCTTTAGTGCCAGCAGGATCAGTGGTGTTAGAGCCAAGCCATTCAGTGTGATGGGAATTAAAATCACCAACAACAACAATATTGGCAGAGGGGTAAAGAGAGATGGCATGGTCAATTTGATCAGAGATAACATCTAAAAGAGTGCAATCATGGGAAGGAGAATGATAAAAAACAAAGAGAAAGGTGATAGAGTGAAGAGGTGCTGGGCAAAAGCACATAAAAGAATGGTCAAAGGATTCGAACCTGATTTCACGACAAATAGGGGAATTAATGTGTATGTATACCCCTAAACCTAGCATGTGACTATTGGAGTCTTTACAAATCAAAGGATAGTACCCATCAACACTGACATCTGAAGAAGGAATTGCAGAACTTAAATTTGTTTCACTGAGTGCAAGCAAGTCTGGTGAATTTTGCAGGAGGTAAGACTCAACTGATGGAAAGTTGCTTCGTAGACCGCGTAAATATTTGTAAAAGATATATTAAAATATTTAGGTGGTGGGTATGGTTTTTTAGGTTTTAAATTTTTGATTACTTTGGTCATGAGTTGGGTTTAATGAGAACTAGACTCATTCATAGATAGAGCACAGCCTCCTAATTAATGAGCTATGCAGTTGTCTCAGTCCTGTTAATTAACCCTAAGCCATGACATAGGGCTCCTTATGTGGCCTTGACAATGCACACCAAAAGCATTAACAGGGACACCATCCATGCGCAACATGGCACTGTTAATACTCTGATATTTTGCAGATGTTGATGGAATCAGCCTCTCTTAGAGCTACCACAGAGTTCGGGAAACCTTACAACCAGCTGGCCTCAGAACCATTAAACTGAGTTTTAGAGCTGTACCCTCATATGGAGATAACAGGAAGTGTTGCATAGCCATTATCAAGGAGGCATAAGCAAAATTCTATGAGTAGAGTCAAGGAGATCCAGCATTCATCATCCTAGGCAGGAAACAATGTAACACAGGTTACATCTACGCCAGCCTAATAGATGAAGAAGGGGTATGTCGCTGAAGCTCTCGCTTTGGTGATCAAAGCAGACAGCAGAATCGAGGGATTCCCACTACCAGGGACGTAAATTTGCTAGATCAATTGTCTATTAAGACAATTGATCTAGCAAAAGGAAAAAAGGTTATCATGGTGATGTTGTCAGCGGTAGTGGTGTAGTGGTAAGAGCGCTCGCTCTGTAAGCGAGAGGTTCGGAGTTCGACTCCCACCACGTCCCTGGAAGTACTGCGCTCAATATAATTTCTCCGCGCAGCGGTCTTGCTTGTCAAGTTTCGTGTTTCGGAGTTAAAGAGTTGAAAGAGGGTTGTACCACGATATACAACAAAAAATAAAAAAATAATTAAAAAAAAATGATAATAATAAGTAGCCTCCTCAACTGTAGTGGCCCCCTCGGGCCTTGGGGAGGTGAATATTTAAAAAAAAGCATTTTTTTAGCATTTACATTAAAAAAATGTCATTATTATAATGTACAGGGATTTTTCCATTTATACCAGCAATTTTTAGTGATGAAGAATTTCTTAGCTCTTATGTCACTGATTGTTCAACGGATCAATCCAATGTCGATTTCAAAATAAAATCAAAAGCCTCTGTCATATCATTATGTCGAACTTTCATCTTCAAAGAGTTCATAATGCCATGATTTTTAACCTCAAAATTGTCTAATGAAAAAATTTCTTTCCACAACCACTACCAAGAAATAACCTCCTTTCCACAACCACTACCAAGAAATAACCTCCTTTCCACAACCACTACCAAGAAATAACCTCCTTTCCACAACCACTACCAAGATAGATGAAAGTGAATGGAAAAAAGGTAAAAAATTAATTTAAACAGATACTTCTGTAAAAGAAAGTTATAAGTTCACATAGTAAAATAAGACTAAGCAAAATTGAAAAAATTAATTGCAGCTAAAAAAGGTTGCAAAAAGATACCTAATGTAAGTCTCTTGTAAGTTTCTTGATTCATGGCTCAACAGACAGTGAAATGAATGGCACCAGTGGTTTCACAAACGAGACCTTGCTTCAAAACCAAAACAAATTGATTGAAGTGTCACTTCAAAATATTCTTAGAAAATTACCTAGACCACTTCTACATGGAGGAACTGCTAGATTTCCTCATCGTTTTATCTTTCCTATGGACTTTACAGCTTATGATAATGCGTTCAACTTGTTTCTCTGCGCAGCAGTCTTAATCATCAAGGTTGGTATTTTGAAGTTATTAAGTTGAGGAGGGTTGTAACCACAACTAAAGTAGCCTTCCTGACTATAGTGGCCTTTCTTTGAATTGGGGAGGTGAATTGAAATTGTATATGTGTATATATATATATATATATATATATATATATATATATATATATATATATATATATATATATATATATATATATATATATATATTGTATATATTGTATATATTTTATATAGAGTAATAGGTAAAAGTATCACAAACTGGATTCTCTTCACAAAAAGCTTTTTTAGTATTAGGAATTTTTAAAAATAACTTTTTTAGTATTAGGAATTTTTAAAATTTTTTTTCTTGAATATAGTTGTTTATTGGAGCAAATCTGCTGTGTAAAAAAAAAAAAAAAATCAAAAAATTTCAAGTTTTAACTGAAAATAAAATTTTATTTTTGTAAAAAGTGTCCACTTTTTGGAGTAAAACAAACAATTCAAAATTATATGAAAAAAACAGATAGATTAATAAATTCATTTTTTTTTTTTAATGTTTAAATATATAGTAATACAAACACAAAAAACTAGAAAGAGAGAAAGCAATGAGACAATGGGAAGATAAAAAAATTAAAATAAAGTTTATAAACTAGGTTATGCAACTTTTTATGCAAAAAAAATCCTTTTCTTTTATATATCTTTTTACGAGATAAGGCTCACAGTGCTATGAACCTGCTTAATCATATATAATAATAATCATTCTAGTTGTATCATCTACAATAAAACCTGTCATCTACCTTTAAAAAAATTTTTAATTAACAATTCCTACTATTAGAATCATTAATAATCATTTTTCTTGTAATTATTAAATATTACATTGTAAAAATCTCAATAAATATCAAGCCATAAAATTATAGTGCAACTTATCTTTTTAACTTAAATTAAAGTTAAGATTATGATTAGAGTTTACTTTATTAGTGTTTACTTTATTAATCTTATCAATATAAGTTAGTTATCTTGTAAATATTTCCTGAAATGTGAACAACTACTTTTTTTATAACTTGATATATATATATATATATATATATATATATATATATATATATATATATATATATATATATATATATGTATATATATATATATATATATATATATATATAGATATATACATATATATATGTATATATATATATATATATATATATATATATATATATATATATATATATATATATATATATATATATATATATATATATATATATATATATATATATATATATATATATATATATGGATGTTTGTAAAGATCAAATTAATTTGCATTGTTCAAATTATTTTACATTTTAATGAAATTAATCTCAAAGCTTTTTTTTAGTGTTTTATCCAAATAATCTATAAGATCTTTACCAACAATCAGCACTATCAGAAAAATATATACAATGTCAGACAGAGATCTTGAAAAAAGATATTTTAAAAATCATTATCCAGCATACGATGAAACAAAACATTTGCTTGATCAGCAGGAAAAGGTATTTAACAATAAGTTTTATCAAAATTTATGTCTATACTTTAAAAAATGATTTCATATCATTTTTAACTTAATTAACTGAAAAGTTAGTTAAATGTTCCAAAGATCTGTTTCTTTGTTTGTTTAATCTATTTGTTTGATATTTTTTATTGGCAATCTGTTTAAAATTTTATGATTTTATACTAATATATTTTTATAAGATATATATCTCTGAAAGTCTTTGTTTTTTTTTAATTTTATTGTTGTCAACAAATAAATTTTGAACTAAACATTGTTTTAGTAAAAAACTTTTGATTTTTAAAAACTTAATTATTAATATTTAGAAAATATCATTTTTTTTGGCATTTTTGTCCTAAGACTGTTGAAAAGAAAACTTTTATATCTGGAATAAATTGTCAAGATATATATATAAACACATTTCACCTGATACTCATAAATTTATTGAAAGAAATAGCACTCAATATTCTGCAAGATAAACTTTTTTAGTCAAGATTTACTTTTATTGAATCTTCTTCTTATTGTTTATATCTTAAAAGTATGAGCATAAATGTAAACTTTTTAGAATCAAAAACTCTTTTTTAACCAATGAGTTTGTCCTAGTTTGGCACTTTTAAATTTGTTTAAATAAAGTGTAGTTATAAAAGCATAGCAGATCCTTATTATGGTGTAAAGTAGCCCACCTCAAATTACCTTTCTACACTAGGATTTTACTAAAGTTTAGAAATTAATAAATGCATATTGCCTTCAGACATAAAGGAAGATTTAATTTTAATCTAAAGCCATATTGAGAGCAGGTTTACCCTCGGTCTGGTTTTGGATAGTTTCTTCAGTTTTTAGCAAATAACTGTGAAAGCCAAATGAAGGAAGGGTCAGGTAACCCTTTCTATGAAAACCTTCTTTACCTGAAAAACTAAGTTTTATTGATGATTGTGATATTGATGATGAAGATTTTGAAATTCTTCAACCTAAGAAAACAAACAAACTAATAAAGGTCAGGTACTCATTTTCCCTAAGAATATTGTGTCAAAAACCAGGCAAAAATAATTAAACAAATGATTTTATTAGTCCTTTTGTTACCAGTTCTGGTGGAAATCATGATGATATTACTTTGTCCATAAGCTCTGGTCACAGAATCTCTAACATGATTTGTTGTGCCGTAAAAACCGACTACGAGTTACGGGCGTTCTGCAAACATCTATTATTATTACGTGGCGTTTTTTAGATATATATATTATTGTATGCATATAAAAAGGTAAATAGAATCTATAATGTTGATATATGATTAATATGAATAGATAGTTTTGATTTTATTTTATGATATAACAAGATTATACAGGGTGATGCTGCTATTCTGAGATCTAACTTAAGAGTGATGGAACATTTTTTATGGAAAAATCATTAAATATTTTACAGGTGCAACAGATGACACAAAGACCGTCTGTTTGTCCTTATAAGATGCAATAATGAAACCCATTTTCTTGGTGTGCCAGGCCTGTGCCATGGAACAGGAGAGGCACAATTTTAAGCTATTCAGAAGTTTTTGGATTATTTTTAAAATAGTGAGTTCCTTCACAGTCACCATATGCTTTGAAACTACTGCTTCAAACACTGGTCGTCTCAAAGAAGCACAAGATCGATAAAATTTTATGACCAAAAATTGCTTTTGTTGGCTTGCAGTCATTATGTAGGTAAAATTCACATTAGGCTTTTTTATGATGCTGTGGCAATTTAAAAAATCGTTGGTCCACAGAACCCATTGTTTAAATTATTAAAAGAGCATTGGCATGAAGTTAACAGGAACCAGGTAAACGGTTTAGTCAATTTTATCCACCAATAATTTTTGCAGGTTTGCTCCTTGCAAACCTGCAAAAACCAGTGGAACAAGCTTGCTCCACTGCAAGCTTGCAAAAACCTCAAAGACGGTAGTATACTGACAAACATTATCTGTTGTTACATCTATACTACTGTTTCCGAAAATTATATTATTCCTAATTTTTGAATAGACATTGGATAAATGTGATATAGCTGAACTTGTAGTTATGTATTTTGATAAAAATCATGTTACCAAGTACAGAGTTTGCAAAACTGAAGCTATCTTACTCATGTAAGATAGCTCCAGTTTTGTGAACTCTGTACCTGCTTTATGAGTACTGGAAACTTGGGTCTATCTATAGCTGTGACGTTGTTAGCCTCTTCTGACAGTGGCCATTACAAGGATATGGAAGATATGGCAAAAATTCTATACTTGAATGAAAGAAATTAATACAACAATCATAAAGTTACGAGAATTAGAGCAGTTGTTCCAGATGTTTCCAGTGTTTTACAACATCATGATCATCCCTATCTTTAGCTACATACGTTTTTAAGGACTCATTGTTAGTCTTTACCATTTTGGCTGATAGTATTAAAAAATTAATATGGGTAAAAAATCTGCAAATCTTTTGCAACAAATTTTCAAGACAATGTGAAGCGCTTCAAGAGTGAAGGAAAGCTACAGAACCTATCCTAGGAAAAAACCAGAAAAAAAGTCAAAAAATGGTCTATTTTATAAGAAACTGTAATACACTATTTCATATTTGTTAATTAGGACTTTATTCCTTTTCTTAAATAATTTTTTATCTTGTGTATTAATTATTAATTACCTGTATTAATTCTTACTTGTATAACTCCTGCCACAGTTTCTACCTGTATAAATTTAGTGCTTTAGTTGTAGTGGTGTAGTTGTAGAGTGGTTCCCCTTGTAAAAAAAGAAGTTCCTAGTTTAGTTTTAGTTTCAGTCAATTGTATAGTCAAAAGTATAGTCAAACTTTTATTCTGTGTTTTCCTGGTTTTCATAATTTAGTTTTTTCTCTGCTAAACATTGTCATTTTATTTTTGTTTTATTATTTATTATCATTATTATTATCTTTTTGATTATTTTCTTCATAGCTTCTTGAGGTAGCTCGTATCCATATTAAGATTAAGTACAATTTTCATTCAAGTTCTAAAAAATTTTTTTCAAGTTAGATGGAGAGATTGTCAGTTCAATTCATTCCTTTATTAAAACTCAAACATCCAAACTTGTTAATGGTGTTACAAGTAATGATTATTGCATTAAAGACTTTTCAGTGTATACAGGAGAACCAGGTTTAGCTTTTTTTTTTTTGCTTTTTTTGTGTGTGTTGGTATTTGTTTTCTATAAATAATGAATTTCTATAATTTGTCATAAAGGTTTTTACTTTTTTTTATTTTTGAGCCACATTAGACAATACAAAATCCAGGACTTATTTAAACAACTTTACCAATGCAATTTTCAATAATTTTGTGACTTGATCTGAGAGTTTGAGATTTTGATCAGACTGATGTCCTTACATTAAGTGTGTGTTGAATAAAAGTTAAAATTCAAAAAAAAGTAGCCAAAAAGGCTACTACAATTGTGGTTACAACTCTCTCTCAATTCTAAATCCAAAACACGAACCTTGATCAACAAGGCCACTGAAAGAAGAAACAAGTTGAGTGCGGTTCTACCAGAGACACAGTGAGTATAAAACTAGGAGCGTCTTGCTCATAAGACAAGCGCTCTACCACTACACCACTACCACATTTAAATCTTTTTTAAGACTATAAGTGACTTCAGTACATACTTCAGGACACTTTTACACCATAGACTACATTACCATAAAGAAATAATATTTTTTGGATCAATTTTATGGCTAAATATGATTTTTTTTGTTTGTTTTAAAACTACTATTCAAAAATCTTATTTTTTGTATAATACTCGGAAAAATTAATCTGTTTATATTGCAGGGCTTGAATTAAGTGTATCGCAATCTTGAGTCTTGACTGCTTTTTGCACCTTTTCGCAATTTTTTCTAAAAGTTTGACTGCTTTTCGCACCTTTTCGCAATTAGTTTTCTAAAAAAAAGAGTTTGTGATTTTTTTTTTCTTTTTTAAGTTAGTATTTTTTTTTGTGGCCAATTTTTAAAAATGTAGAATGTTTTTTTTTATATATAGAATTTATTTTTTAAATAGATGTATGATCATTTACTCTCTTGCACAGAGACTTTTATTCAATATAAAGCGCATTTAAATTTAAATTACTTTAAATCTCTGCGTGGAAGCCAATAATATCCGACTTCTATTTTAAAGTTAAATTGAGTTTGGTTTACTTAATGGATAAAGTACATTAAAATAAATTTACCTATAAAATAAATCAAAACAACCAATTGAGTTACTGCAGTTAAGTTACTCAACTATTAAATTTGCATAATACTCAAAGACTCATAAAAGTTGGCCATGCAAATGTTTCTTTTTATATCTTATATGTTTTTAATACATTAAAAGCTTCTAAATAAAAATTGTGTTTTATATTTTTATTTTATTTAAAGTGATATCATGATTAAACATTTTCTATAAATGCAAATGTTGTTTTTTAGGAATTTTTTTGTTAAAAAAAGTTTTATTTGAACAAAAGAAATTTGAACAAGAGACTTTTACACTTATAAAATTCTTGTATTCAAATGATTTTATAATTTAAAAAATTTTCTAAAAATTCAAAAGAATATTAATGCTTGCTGACAATAATTATAAATTTAATTGCAGCAATGTCCGTAATACCCAGTGACATAGCGAGTATTGTTCCTGAAAGTCAAACATAGATCTAGCTACAGTAACAATATTTAGAAGATTTAGAAGATTTTCTGGATACTTCCAGAATTCCTGATATTTCTATAAATTTTTATTTTTTCTGGATATATAAATAGTTTTCTGGAAATACAAGTTAAAATTATTTTTTTCGTCATCAAATAATTAAAACAGTATAGATATTGTTCATCAATTACTTTATGCTATATTTTACTTAGGCGAGGCATTATTTGTACAAATAATTTTTTCTTATTTGTACACGTATATTTATTATAGGGATTCACAAGTGTCGTGACATAGAGTAATTGCTCAACTTTATGCGAATAAATGTTTGAGCAAAATTGCTAAAAAATTTATTCACGTAAAGCTAAGCGATTACTTGCTAAAATGCTGAGTAAAAGCATGTGCTTTTTTTTATTCACCCGATCTTTATTAAAACGTATATATATATTTAAGTTATAAAATAAGTTTTGTGTTAATTAAAATTACCAAATCAATTTTTTTATTGAGTTAATACAAACTTAATACTTTTCGTTGTAAAGTATCTGGTTTGAATAAAAAATGTACTTACTGCAGAGACTTTTAAACAATTTTCAAACAATTTCACAATTAATTAGGGTTTTCCCCTCGGAAAAATGTTTGTGTTTTAGTTCAACTGGAGACTTTTGACAAAATAAAAGTTGTAAATAAATGAAAAATACCGCTTTTCTACTTTGTTTTATTTTTATTTCCATTAAAATATTTTATTTTCATTTGCTGTAAAATCAAATTTATTGTACTATTTTCTTACAAATCCAAATAAAAAGATAAAAAAATTTTAATTTTGGTTTTAAAATTTTATTAGTAAAACTTGTATCATAATTTTTAATTTTACATATCTAATATATATAGCACTAATATTAATTTTGTTTTTAAAATAAATGGAATGTTTAAAAGTTTAAAAGAATGTAAGAATTAAAGTAATCTCAATAAAGCATTTGCTTATTAAGATTATTTTTATTCCTCTTTTGTATGTTTTATTAATGGTTATATATTAGGGGTGTACCAGATTGAAAATTTGGCCAAGAACCGGATTTGCTGGAATTGTTAATAAAATTCAAGAATTATATTTAAAATATAATTCTTGAATTGTATGCCTCCTTGATAATGGCTATACAACTCTTCCTGTTATCTCCATATGAGGGTACAGCTCTAAAACTCAGTTTAATGGTTCTGAGGCTGGCTGGTAGTAAGGTTTCCCGAACTCTGTGGTAGCTCTCAGAGAGGCTGATTCCATCAACAGCTGCAAAATATCTGAGTATTAACAGTGCCATGTTGCGCATGGATGGTGTCCCTGTTAATGCTTTTGGTGTGCATTGTCAAGGCCACATAAGGAGCCCTATGTCAAGGCTTAGGGTTAATTAACAGGACTGAGACAACTGCATAGCTCATTGATTAGGAGGCTGTGCTCTATCTATGAATGAGTCAAGTTCTCATTAAACCCAAATCATGACCAAAGTAACCAAAAATTTTAAACCTAAAAAACCATCCCCACCACCTAAATGTTTTAATATATCTTTTACAAATATTTGCATTCTGCAAAGCAACTATCCGTCAGTTGAGTCTTACCTCCTGCAAAATTCACCAGACTTGCTTGCACTCAGTGAAACAAATTTAAATTCTGCAATTCCTTCTTTTTTTTTTTTTTTTTTTTCTGAAGTTGATTTAGGTGCTCCAAGAAGTCCTTACGGTCTTATCACAGAGCATCGCGGAAGAGCATTTAATAGGAAGTTCACGCCTCCTTCCCAACCGATGTCGCAAAACTTGCTCATAAGTGGGGTTTGAACCACAGATCTTAAGTTTCTGAGGCAAGTGCGCTACCACTGCGCCACAGCTGCACAAATTCTTCAGATGTTAGTGTTGATGGGTACTATCCTTTGATTCGTAAAGACTCCAATAGTCACATGCTAGGTTTAGGGGTATACATACGCAACATTCCTATATTAATGAATCAACATTCCTATATTAATGAATGGCAATCCTCTTACTGAGTCCTCCTACGTCTTCTTGGATTATCGTTTATTACTGACCTTTCATGGAAACCTTATATACAATCAATTGCTAAATTAGCTTCTGCTAAGGTTGCTTCTCTTTATCGTGCTCGTCATTTCCTTACATCTGATTCCATTCTCTACCTCTACAAATCTCTTATTCGTCCCTGTATGGAATACTGTTGTCATATTTGGGCTGGTTCTTCTAACAATTCACTTTCTCTTCTTGATAAGGTCCAAAAATGCATTGTAAATGTTGTTGGACCTGGACTATCTGCTAAGCTTGAGCTTCTTTCCCATCGTCATAAAGTTGCATCTCTTTCTCTTTTCTACAAATACTATCATGGTCACTGCTCAAAGGAGTTATCATCTCTAGTTCCATCAACTAAAATTCATTCTTGTTTTACTCGTCATTCAGCTATGTCTCATTCGTTTACTGTATCTGTCCCTGCATGCTCTAAAAACTTTTATTCATCTAGTTTTTTTCCCCGCACTTCAATCCTTTGGAACTCTCTCCCATCTTCATGTTTTCCTGACTCATACAACCTTCAACTTTTCAAGTCTTCTGTTAACCGTTTCCTTGCTATATAACTCTGTTCTTTTTTTTCCTAGTAACTCCCAACTTAATAGTGGTTGCTTGCAGCCTTGTTGAGAGTGAATGCAAATTAAAAAAAAAAAAAAAAAAAACAATTTCAAAAGCAGAAACACTGTGTAATGTATTATAGTGTTAACGTATTTAATATGTAACAGTATTAAATATGTTTACACTATAACACATTATCTACTATACTATACTATAACTTTAACTTATGCTTTTTAAAATCTCGGCCAAAAGAAAATATAAGATAATATTTAAACATGAGAGATTTTATGTAAAGAAATTGCAATTATGAACTAATGTACAAAAAATACAGGTATGTACAAAAAATACAGGTATGTACTAAAAATACAGGTATGTACTAAAAATACAGGTATGTACTAAAAATACAGGTATGTACAAAAAATACAGGTATGTACTAAAAATACAGGTATGTACTAAAGCCAGGTATAGAGGAGGAAGAGCGAAAATCGAAATTTTTTTTTGATCTGATTTTTTTTTTTTTACGTAAATTCGAGCCCTGCATGTTGTATTTAACTAAAGTTTAAAAAATTAGATAAGAGGATTGTTGGTTAGTAATATAACAGATTTAATGTATTCATGGCTCAAACCACAAATCAATTCAGTAAGTTTATACTGAAATAAATTGGTTTAAATATAGTTTATTAGCAAGAATGATTTTTCAAGCTACTAGACATGGGTATCTTTTTTGTTAATAGGTATTGCATTGTATCTTTCTATGTTATCCAATTCACAAGGGATGGCAGATGACAGTCATACAAAAATTATCAGAAGGTTTTTACGATCATCTTTAAACCATTGCCGACAAAAAAAACTTAGTTTTTTATGTGGAGATTCAGGTGAGAAACAGGTATTTAATATTTATGCTTATTAATTGCTAGTTAGCATACACCCACTTTGACATTAATGGTTTATGGCATAGATTACTTGGTATATATGCATCACTTGATAAGGCTTGCTTCTTGATTTGCAAACATGTTTAAACATTAATGTAATATATTAGACTGTAATAAAAAAAGGATTATAACATTCAGTTATAAGTTTTTGTTAAACTTTTTTAAAAATAACTATTTTTGTTTAATTTTTAAGGTTGCTTAGCACTGTCAACTGTACTATTAATGAATAGTGACCCTGATGTAAGCAAGCAAAGCCTGTTCCAACTTTTATCTTTGTCAGATTTACTATCTAATGATAACATACCTGATGAGTTACTGTATGGAAAAGCTGGTTATCTTTTTGCATTACTGTTTGTATACCAAAGTTATAAGCATTTGATACCTTCACAGTTGATTCAAAAGGTGAGTAAAAATTATGATTGTAAATATAAATGTTCACTTATAAAACTATATTTATCATAAATAACCAGGTATTGCAAATATGTAAAAGTTCTTCATTAAATTTCTTCATTAAATGTCTATATGTGCATGTCTGGTCGTTTTGTGATTTTCATAAAGTTTAAAACTTACATATGCATAATTCATGGGGCATAATGAAATATCACAATTGTGTAGGCACCTTAATTATAAAAACCATATTTATATAGCGAAACAGTTACTGCTAGAGCTATTTTTTGAAAGAGAAAGTTTAAGTTATATATTAATAGGCAAGTCCAGTTAAATTTCATTTGTAATAAAGTAAATTAACATAAATCAGTTAATATAATTATATAAATTATATAAGTTAAAGTTTCTATATTAAGTTTTTAATTTCTTGAATTACAATTTTTAAAAAATTAAATTTTCGAAAAAAATAAAATTGTTTTAGCCTTGAAATTAATGAAGAAGTGTAGCACCAGGAACTTCTATGCTTAAGATATTCATTGTATCCGGTTGACTATTTATATTGTTTGCAGTGGATCCATTCGGAACTCTGTCTCGACGGATTTTTCTCGGTTTTTCGGAGTTTCGGAGTCATAAAAGAATCGCTTGTCCAGGAAGCAGCACAAACGGCCTTATTGGACACGTCAAAAGTTGCGAGAAAATAGATTTGAAACCATTCAGTTCCAGACCAGTTTTGACTAAGATGTCATTAAACGATCTTCTTGCCAAGTTGACAGCTCTTGATGGGTATTCGATTAGGTCCATAACTCAATCTGAAACACTAAGAATGCTTTTTGAAAATTACGGGCATAGTTTGCCTAAGTCAGCGTCCGCAATTTCAGAAAAAATTAAGATGTTTCATGCTGAAGCCAAATACTTAATGATCGCTGAATTGGCTGCATTGAAAGCAAAAGGAGAAAAATTTGGACTAACAGGTGACGAATGGTGTAGCAATAGAGGTAGAAGATACTACAATTTAAATGTTCATCACGACAGAACGTATTGTTTAGGAATGATGAGATTGCCATCTCCTAGTTCTGCTGAAACATTAAACATTTTGATAATGGAAAAATTAAAAGAATTTGGTATAGATAGTGAAGATATTGCAGGTAAAACTACGGATGGCTGTAGTTGGATGGTGAAATTGGGTACCATATTTAAGTTTCCACATCAGATCTGCCAGAATCATTCAATTCATTTGAGTGTTTGTGATTTGATATACGCTAAAAAAGATTGTTGCAAAATTGTGAACAAAGAAACTGAATCGATTATTGAAACAGAAACAGAAACTGATGGAGAGTCTGAAGGAGAGTTTCTTATTGAATATTCGGAGAATGAGATTGAGTATGAAGAAAATATTGAAAAAAATCTACAGAAACTTCGAATACTAATTAAGTTTTTGAAATATTCATCGTTTCGATATGAAGTTCTTAAAAGAAAAATACACGAAATATACGGATCTTCGCATGACAAAGTACTGTTGTTCGACAACCGAACAAGATGGAACAGTGTTTTTAAGATGATTAAAAGATTTCTGGATTGCTTAGAAGCTGTAAAAAAAACACTCAAAGAGCTAAACTGCTTAAACATGTTAGCTGAAATTGACTTGGATTTCTTAAAATCGCTGTCTGACTTATTGGAAGTCGTTGCTGACGCTGCAGTTCGCTTGGAAAAACCAAATACAACAATTTTGGAGTGTGACATTATTATGGAAACGTTAGTAAGGAAATTGAAGGTTGCAGAAACTGACATCAGTTCTAATTTTGCAGAGACCTTAATCTCTAGATATGAAGATCGTAAAAACGTTATGTTGGTATCATTGAGTCGTTATTTGCACAATTCCGATTTTTTTTTAAAATAAAAACCACACATTTTTTTACGCTTCCAAAAAAGATATTCAAATTTATGCTTCAAAATTATTTGATCAACTATTTGCAACAAAAGAAAATAGTCTCCAATCAAAATCAGATGATCACGCTAAAAACAAACAAGAAGAACCATCACAATCGACATCTTTTTTCTCCGAAATTCAAGAAGTTCTAATTCAAAATCAATCAGCAGCTAAAAAACCAAAAAAAGTCAAGACCTTCACCGATCAGTTAAAAGAATATGAAGTAACTGGTGTGAAATCAGAAACAGTTTTAAAATTTGAACTAGCCATCCACAGAATTCAAGCAACTTCCTCGGAAGCAGAAAGAGTTTTCTCCTCATCTTCCAGATTTGTCACAAAGTTTTGTAGTTCGCTTTCTGATGAAATGATAGATGTTTTGATCTTTTTTTTTTAATTTTTACTATAGGTGCCCCAACAAGTCTTAATTGCATAGCAACGCAGAAGGGCATTTAACTGAAAGTTCACGCCTTCTTCCTAACCGATGCCGGTTAGAAAGCCAATTATTAGATATAACTTGTTCGTTAAAAAATTGTGATAAAAAAAATATTTATGTACTAAGAAATATAAAAATATAAATTTTTTAAAATTTTATTATGAATTATAAATCGAAATATTTAAAATTAAAAAATAAAAATACAAGAACAATGTTTAATTATCAAATAGAGAGTTTAATTTTTTTATCAAATAGATAGTTTAATTTTTATAACAAAATATTATCGAGACTTCGATTTTTTCTCGACTCCGACGGAGTTTTTTCTCGATTTCTCTCGACTCCGTTTTTTCTCGATTTTGGATCCTTTGATTGTTTGGCTTATGCTTTTATGCTTTTCTGGTAAAAAAAAGTTCTTGAATATTTTTGTTGACAATGCATTTACAGTTTTGGACGGTAAAGCATTCCAATCATTTACGACACAGTTTGGGCAATAATGGAATCATTCAGTTTGACACATTCTATTTTTCCAGGCTTGTGGTCATGTAGATTGTAGTCTGAGTTACAGATGCTGTTATTTGTGAACTTGTCAACTTTTTTGAAAACATGTATTTTATACTTTTGTATAAGATCTTGATGTTTCAATCTAGTTTTCAGAATGGTTATTTCAAGAATGTTAAGTTCCTTTTTGTAAGAAAGGTGTTTGAGCACAGTAATTACTTGAGTTGTTCAGCAATAGATTTAGTTGATTCTTTTTATATTGCATTTGAGATCAGGTGATCATGCTTGAATAGCAAGTTTTAAGTGTGGTCTAACTTAAGTATTGAGTATGTACTTTACATTTTAGCTTTTTTTTTACTTAATTATATTTTGCCATACATTAATGAGATCTTCAAATTATGGATCATCAAGTTATAGGATCATTAAATCTTGGATTATGAAATCATGGAACCTTCAAATCATGGGGTCATTATATTATAGGATTTTTAAATCATGGGATTATCAAATTGAAGGATTTCCTAGCCAAGTAACAAATTAGACCTTATTTTTAATAATTTATAATTTCTTATTTCTTATTTAATTTTTGTCAGTTAATTTAATTATTAGGTTGTTAATCATTTATTTGAAGATGGTATTGGAAACATTTCTTCAACACATGTGTTGTGTCTATCTTATACTTGGCATAATAAGCATTATGTTGGAGCTGCACATGGATATATTGGAATTCTATATATTTTGTTACAGGTTTCTCATGCTTAAAATTTGTATTTATATATAAAGAGGGAGTAGTTTATTTAGAAATTAAATAAAATTTATTTTGTTTTTATTTTAATTATTTTGTTCCAATTTAAATAAAAAATTCATATTTAAAATTTAATAAAATGTTTATAATGCTGTTTTTATTTTAATTATTTTATAAAGTATTTAAAAAATTTTTGTGTGTGTTTTTAAATTTAAATTTAATTAAAATGTTTTTTTTTTTTTGATTTTTTTAAAATTATGTTATATAGAATTTAAATAAATTGTTAATTTTGCTGATGTGTTTTTAATTTAATTCGTTTAGAATTTAGATATAACGTTTGTTTTGCTTGTTTTTGTTTTTATTTTCACTATTTTATTTAGAATATTAAATATTAACTTAGTTTCATGGTTTTTATAAAATAATTTTGTTTTATTTAGATTTTAAAAGATTGTTCATTTTGTTGTTTTATTTACTTGAATAGCTAATAAAATTAGTTTTCAAAATTCTGAGTCAGCTAATTGCTGACCTCAGGCACTGTTAGATTGGCAGTTAAGTTGGCATTGCAGATTGCCAACCCTAATACCTAATACCAACCCTAATTGTATATATATTTATATATATTTATATATGTACATGTATATATATATATATATATATATATATATATATATATATATATATATATATATATATATATATATTTAAACAATTTTTAAAAAAATGTATTCTACAAATTCTATAAATGTATTCTATACATTCTATAAACGTAT